TGCTACTAGATTGAGATAAACCTTTATTTCTGCAAGATATTGTCTTTGATGATTTGAGTTTTATTTGGCTTCTAAAGTTCTCTACTGACCCAGACCTATTGAGACGAGGTTCGTTAGTTATGAGATGGAAAGCAAGCATTTCTTCAGAGAACTGAGGTATAAAGATTGGAGGGGCCACTCTGACATTCGCTCTTTGATTCCAGACCCTTGGAGATGAAGAAAATGTCTGAGCTAAAACCATTATAAGCATTATGCACAGGAAAGGCCAATCCATATCCTGACTGTAAATTCCTGCCCCTCTCCATGGTGAAAGCAATTCATGGTGAAAATGGTTACCAGATTGCTGCTGTGCCATATTGGAGACTCATTATTGTCCTCTGCTTCTGGCAAATTAGCAACTGTTCATATCACCTTCTTTATGTTGTTCTCCAAATTTCCCCTTTTTGTAAGGACACCTGCCACTTTGCATTAAGGTCCACCCTAATGACCTCATCTTAACTAATAACATCTGTAACAGCCCCATTCACAACTAAAGTCACATTTGGTGGTACTGGGGATTAGGATTTCAACATATGAATTTTGAGGAGACAGAATTCAAACCGTCAAGGGCTCTCTCTCACTCACTTTCAGGTCCTGTGTAGCACACCTTCTCATATCTAAACAGTTCCCACTCTTCCTGCTTGCTAGCCCATCCTTACACAGGAACATGAGGCCACCTTTGGCCACAACTTTGCATTGTCCCTCTCTTGTTCAGAAACCTTTAGTGAGAGTGACTACTCGTTGTCTGGCAGGTGTGATCCAGAGCATATCACTTAGTCCTCTGCAATAAAAAACAAACTACCTTCCTTTTAAAAGTTCTCACCTTTGGGGCTGGAGGGATGGCTCAGCAGTTAAGAACACTGGTTGTTCTTGCAGAAGACCCGGGTTCGAATCTCAGCACCCACATGGCAGCTAACAATGGTCCGTAGCTCCTGTTCCAGGGGATCCGACAGCCTCTTCTGTCCTCCGCAGGCATTGCATGACACGGGTGCACTTACCTATATGCAGGCAATACAGTCATACACATAAGATAAAAACAACAAACCAATATTTTAAAAAAAGATTAAAAAAAAGTTCTCATCTTTGCCAGGTGTGGTGGCATGCGCCTTTAATCCCAGCCCACGGGGGGCAGAGGCAGGTGGATCTCTGCGAGATCGAGGCTACCCTGCTTCACATTGTGACTTCCAGGTCAGCTGTGAGTAGAGAGACCCTGTTGAAAAACAACCAACAATAAGACAAAAACAAAACAAAAATTCTCATCTTTTCTACCCACTGACTCTATCACAATTAAACTATCCCCATTGTTTTTATCTTTCTAACCTCTGCCATTTTGTTCTGGGGGTGGATTTATTAAGAGGACCAGAGGATGGACCATAGAAGACAACTTAGAGTTTTTAGGAAAAGATAGACAATGTGTGTTGGTGATGGGGCACATGTATGTAGAAATAATGGCATATGCAGGGTTCAGGAGCAAAAGCCAGCTGGGCATATTTTTGGGTATTACAAATAGGACCGAGTTGCTGAGGCAAACAGGATGTCAGAGTAGGAGAAAGCATTGTAGCATTGAAGGGATTAGTGAGACAAGAATTTGACTGCTCTGTAGGCTAGATAAATTGCTTAGATTTTTCCCTGTTAATGGATAGTTAGAACTGATTTATAACCAAACTCTGAATACTTTATTTACAACAGTCTCCTGAGTGCCTAGAAGAGTGTGTAGCACACATAAGCTTTAGCATGAGTTTACTCAAAAGAGACAAGAAGTTGGATGAAGTAGTTTATGTGGCGGATAGTCCCAGAAAATCACAAATTAGGGACTGGAAGAACTGGTAATCTTAAGGAAGAAAAGTCCATGATGTGAAGGCTGTCACTGGGCAGGTTACCATGGCAGGCTTCTGGCTACTTAGCTGTGAGTCACTCTTCTGAAAAATACTGAATATCCCTTGGAACGGTTCCTAAGGATGGAAGAACCTGGGATTAGAAGATTTTTTTTGTTAATTACATTTTATTCATTTATTTTGTGTGTATGAGGTGTGTGGGGAGATGCACATACCACAGTGAATGTGTGAAGGTCAGAGGATAATGTTTAGGAGCTGGTTCTCTCCTTCCACCATGTGGGTCTGAGGGATCAAACTCAGGTCATCAGGCTCAGTGGCCTGGAATCTGAGATATTTTTGTGCTAACCTCAGTCTTTCTCTAGTTGAGAGTTGTCCCTGGGACATTAGACTCCAGGTCCTTCAGAACAGTCTAGAGCACAGAAAGGCATATTCCATGGATTTCCAGATGAGAATCAGAGAAATCCAGGGCATGAGGTGGGAAGGTGCTGACCTGGAGCCATGGGGGAAAGAGTGTGGACCAGGAGCTAAGGGATGGGACATTCAGATGCCTGAATGAATCTATGGTATCCCAGACGACTCTTAAAGGTTTTTGAGATTATAAAATATATTCATAGAGGAATCACATGTGCTCATAAGGGCCAGGTACAATGGATCACAGGGCTACATAAATGTTTGAGAATGAAGAAAGGTATGAGGGGAAAACTTGGAGGATTGGCCATGGTTAATGGATTCGACAAGAACAGGGAAAAAATGAATATGACTGGTCTGGTAGATTTGGGTTTGTGTCCTTGAACACAGATAGTAGCCGGGAAAGGACAAGCACAGTGACATGATTAAGAACCTATGTTACTGCCTATTCACTACACTTCTAAGGATCAGTCATTGGGTGAGATACAGGGTGACCCTGTCCCGGCTCCTTAGAGCACTCTTCATACCTGTCCATTTGCTTCTACTTGTGAGCTTACAGTGTGTATGAAAGCATTTTGAGGAGACCGAGGCACTGCAGGCAGAACATTGTAGTGTTTGGTTGGGCTGAGCATAGCATATTTCCCATTCCATTTTCAGATTGTTTTGCTTTATTTTTTTGAGATGGAGTCGAATATAGCTCAAGGTGGCCTCGAACTCCTGATCCTCCTGTCTGTGCTTCCTGAATGTCAATTACAGGTGTGCCTCAGCATGCCTGGCTCTTTTAAAATGTTAAGCTATCAGAAACAAACTAGAAGGAGCTATCACAATACTAAATGTGTGCACACTTTGATCTCATAACTGGTCTGCTGATCCTTAAAACACGATGAGTGAGACAGCCATGGAAGAGGCTTGAATGCTGGAGGTAGAACCCCTCAGAGAGTATCAATGCCATTCTGGCTGGCATGCAGAATGGAAAGAACTGACTGGAGGCAAGTATGGAGTCCACTTGCCCATAACATGAAAGGTTGGGCAACCAGACCACACAGCATGCCTTACCACCCATGGTCCCCACTCATATTCCCTACTACAGAAAGGGATGAAAACAAGACAGAATCCAGCCTTTAGCAAGCAACGAGAGCCAAGTTTTCTTTATGCACCCCCTAACCCCACTTCTCTCCCTCAGGAACCTCTGGCCAATTTACACCACCTGCCCTACCTTAAGACAAGCTCACAGAAATTGTTTGTGTAAAAGTCAACTTTAATTATCCATATTTGGGTCATCCAAGAACTGCCCTTTGGAGGGCAACGGGGAAGATACTGGGGAAAGGAGAGCTTACACAAGGTGGACTCAGTCGGCAACAAGGTTGAGGCCCACAGTGGGGAATGGCCCAAAGAAGCCCTGAAAAAGAAGAAAGAGGGATCTGGAGTCAGGCTGGAGAGACATAGCTCCTCCCTACCTGCACTCCTTTCTCAAATACTTAATAACTGCCTGATTTAAATAGGCCCTCCCCACAGTGACTCAGCCCAAGGATTGATAGCCTGACCCATTGGCTCTCACATGTAGCTTCTCCTTCAGCTGTAATTTTCCCCTAGGATGGAGGCTGGAGAAGAATGGCAAAGTCTTGTTCATGTTCTTGGAAACACCACAGCTACCAGTCCCCATAGGTGCGTCTCTGTCACTTAGTTCATATTATGTTGCCCCAGCAGCTTATCCAAGTTTAGAACGCCCTGTTGTCATGTTATGGGACTAAGGGCCTATTTTCCTGGAAAGCATTTGGGACTGGGACCCCCTGTGTGCAGGCTGCCTCTAGATGGAGGATGTGGACAGGTGGTGAGTGGCAGTGTCACCACCTAAATCCAAGCCTGTTCTACCTCTACTTCTCTGGACCAGGATGGTCTACCCTTCATACCCTCTTGGTTTTCATTCTTGCTCTTTTCACCATCCATTCTCTGACATTTCCATGGTGTTGTTTCATTTGGTTGCTTTTGGATTTGTGTGTGTGTGTGTGTGTGTGTGTGTGTGTGTGTGTGTGTGTGTTTGCTGAGATCCTATTTTTTTTTTTTTGAGGAAGAGGAAGAGGAGGGACAGGGTTTTTTAAAAAATATTTTATTTGTTATATTTATATTATGCATGTGGGTATATTGCCTGCATGTGTGTAAGTGCATCCGTGTCGTGCAATGCCCAAAGAGGTCAGAAGGCTGAGTCAGATCCTGTGGAACTGGAGTTGTGGACAGTTGTTAGCTGCCATGTGCATCTTGGGAATTGAGGAAGAGGAAGAGGAGGGACAGGGTTTTTTAAAAAATATTTTATTTGTTATATTTATATTATGCATGTGGGTATATTGCCTGCATGTGTGTAAGTGCATCCGTGTCGTGCAATGCCCAAAGAGGTCAGAAGGCTGAGTCAGATCCTGTGGAACTGGAGTTGTGGACAGTTGTTAGCTGCCATGTGCATCTTGGGAATTAAACCTGGGTCTTCTGCAAGAGCAGTCTGTGCTCTTAACTGCTGAGCCATCTCTCCAGCCCCAGGGACAGGGTTTTTATTTTTATGTACCCCAGGCTGGCTTTGAATTTTCAATCCTCCCTCCTCAATCTCCCGAGTACTGGTATCACAGGTACGTGCTACCATGCCTCACTATTTTAGGGTAGTCATTTAAAATTACATGCCACATTAGATGATTCTCCTCCTTAAAATATCCCAGTTGATTTCCCACTGTCCTTAGAATAAGATGCAAAGTTTCTCCTGTGATCTGTGAGTCCCTTCAGGGTAAGCACTGGCCTTCTCCAGTTTCATAGCTCTGTCACTGGCTGCTGTGTTCCTCCGGCTGGCCTTAGCAGCCTTGCTTCAGGGCCTGTGTGGCTGTAATGCCTTTCCTTTGTCTCTTTCTCTGACTGTCTTCCTCTTTTCATTTATGTCTTAGCCTTACAAAAGACTTTTCTATCTGAAGTCTGCTGTTTGGAATAGCCCCACCCCAGGCCTTGACAGGAAAGGCAAGAGTTGTTTAGGGAAAATTGGAAATCAAGAGGCCTGGGTCTGATGACAGCTCTGCCATGGACTCAGCACAGCGGGTTGAGTAAGTCCCATGACCAGTCAGGGTCCCTGCTTTTCATTGACAGAGATACTACATGGGTGATTTCTAGTCTGGAACATAGAGTTCAGATTCCAAGGAGATGCCTCTGAGCTTTGCCCACACCACAGAGTGGAACAGGCAGAAGATGAGGTTGAAGCCTCTGGGCTGTGACTCCAGTTTATCTAATGGAGCTCTGCTATTGGTTGGTATACACAAGGGGCCCTTTTATATTAACTGAGAACTCGTCAGCTTTCAATGCCTGCTTGAAACTCAAGGCTAATGCATGATCTTACAATTTGTGTCTTCCTTAGAGACTTCCCTTCACCTCTCATTTAAATGCCCAGCTAGAGGTAGTCTTTGAGAAACAAAGGAAAACAGGGCTACCCTTTGGGTGTTAGAGTTTTTCATCCCAATACCTCTTTTCTCTTTTATATCTGCCTCCACTCTTTTAAACAGGTCTTTTGTAATTCCAACCTCCCTAGGAAAAGTGAGCCCTCTCCTTGGTGGAGTGGGTCACCTCTTGTTTGGGGGCCTTTGAAGCCACTTTGGAGGTAAAGCATTGATCCCTGTTCATCTTGACTGTTGGGCTCTATGGGGAGAGAAGCCAGGAGTTAGGGAGGAGGCAGAAGTATGAGACAGTCTCAGAAGGAAAGGGATCTGATACAAAGTTAAGGCTTCACAGTTCTTGGGAAGATACATAGTCTCACCTTGGGGACTATGAGTTGAAGTTTCTCCCCTTGTTTGCCCCTAGAAGAGACAGGAATGACAAGTGGGACTGAGGCTTGTCAGCATCTAACCCGCCCCCCCCCCACAAGTATAACTAATGCATCAGAAAACTGTTTCCCACTGATTGCAGACTGCTGCAGCACCATGCTTCTAGTAGCTTATACTTGCAGCCTAGTATTCCTGTCTGTCTGCCGGATAGCAGGAGCCAACCACAGGCCTCCACACCTCACTCCAGTGGGTTTAGTGGGGGAAACTGCCTTCCCATTCCTTGGGCATGGATCTTGGGGGTGGAGTCTGCCGATGTGCTCCATCTTTTGGGTCATCACATCTTGGGCAATGTCATCTGTCCAGAACAGACCTGTAGGATTTGAAAAGATGGAGTGAACTAACATCAGGGGCCAAACTGACTCTCCCTTAAGTACATACAGAACCACATTTTATGGAGAAGTTAAATGATATGGTATAGAAAGGCTACTGAGCAACAGTGCCTGGCATGTCATAGTTAACTAATCTGCAGATTCACTTGATGACATGGTGAGGATTGAGTGAAGTTAAGAACGGAAAGAACTCTTTAAAAAACTCCAAGGCAGCCGGGCGTGGTGGCACACACCTTTAATCTCAGCACTCTGGAGGCAGAGGCAGGAAGATCTCTGTGAGTTCAAGGCCAGCCTGCTCTGCATAGTGAGTTCCAGGACAGCTGGGGCTACAGGAAGACCCTGTCTCAAAAAGACCAAAAAAAAAAAAAAAAAAAAAAAAAAAAAAAAAACCCACGGGAATAGGCAATGATTCAAGCTTTGACATGCTTCAGACTATGTTGCAAGGCCTGTTAATACAAGATTGTTGTTTCATCCTCCAGAGTCAGTAGGTTGGGGGGGAGGTTAAAGAATTATAATTGCTATTTTATTTTTTGTGTGTATATGTGTTTGTGTGCATATGTGTGTGCAGGCATGTGTAGGCCAAAAGTTGATGGTGTTTTCTTTAATCACTTTCCATCTTCTTTTTTCTAAGATTCTGATTTTTTTCTTGACTTTTAATTTTATTCTATTTTTATTACTATTATTATTATTTCTATTATTATTATTGTGTGTATGTGTGTGTGAGAGTAATGTGAGTGCAAGTGCCATGGCAAGCAGGGGACAGAGGACAACTCTGTGGAGTTGATTTCTCCTTCTACCTTTATGTGGGTTCCAGGATTTGAACTCAAGTCATCAGTTTTGCATGATTGGGGGCAAGTGCCTTTACCTGATGAACCATATCACTGACCCTCCACCATATGTTCTGAGACAGGGTCTCTCACTGAACATGCATCTCACTGACTAGGCTAAACTAGTTGCCCTGTGAGCTCCAGGGATCCACCTGTCTCCACCAACTTCCCGGCAGCGCTGGGATTATGGACCTGTGCAATTGCTCCTGGATTTTACATGGCTGCTGGAGATCCAAACTCAGGTCCTCATGCTTGCACAGCAGGCACTTTACCAACTGATTCATTTCCCCAGCCCCAGGAATGAATATTCCTGATGGATTCTTTGCTGATACAGGTGTTGCTGGTCTGGAATACACTTTGAGACTTACTGTCCTAAGGAGTTATATATTATTTAAGTATTAGGAGTAGTATTATGAATTCAAGGCAGATTTTCTATCTGATACACACAGGCAAAACTCTACAGAAGAGTTAGCCATCTGTTTCCAAGGGAATCCCGGCTTCCTTGCATTCTTCCCCTGTTATACAGTTTTCACTGCTTCCTACTCAGAGGCAGAGGCATATGCCTAGTCTCCTGGCTGGGTGTTCAAGTGCAAATGGCCCATTTGTCTAAACTCTACTTCCACTCTATCTTATCCCCTTCCCCACTAAGGTGAGCATAAGAAAGTTTCAAGTAAAGACATCTGAGGAAGAGAAAACCTCTCTGGTAGTCGATGGTGCTTCACCACCCTCCCTCCTATCTGACCAGGCCTACTTACCTTGGGGTACAATCTGGTGGAGTATAAGCTGTAACTGCCGGAATAATGGAGCAGTCAGTCCTTGAAGTGGCCAGAGCTGCCCACTTCCTACTTGGCTCTGACCATCTAAGGGCAAAATAACGGTGTCAGCAAGTACCTTGGCTAGAATCATTCCATATTCCAGTTGAAGCCACTACTTTCCCTCCACTCTTAATCCTAAGCCAGGTCCTTTCCCCCTTTTCAAGTCCTCTTTTGCCATTTTCTCCTTCATCTTTACCAGTCCTGTTCTTCAGCCCTTGGATCCCATTCACCTTGATACTGACATCCAGATAAGAACCAAGCACACACATAAAAACCAACCTGTGGAGGTTCAGGTGCCAAGAGCTACCCACGTGAGATGGATAATCAGATGGACAGGCAGAGTATGAGGAAGTAGATGGGCTGCATTTTAGGGGAAATTTTGAAGGCAGGAGGGATTAGGGAGACCTATAATCCTTAGGAAGAAAAAATACCATCTCCTCTGGTGTCTTCAAGGATTGGATCCAAGACTACCCTCCATACCAAAATTTGTGAACCTTCAAGGCCCTAATACAAAATGGTTTATTATTTGTATATTACCTACAAATATCCTCCTGTATAAGTTATTTAAAATTACATCTATTAATTTAGTGTGTGTCTGTGCACATGCTGAGAATTTGAAGATCAGAGAACAACTTGCAACTTCCTTCTACCATGTGAGTCTCTGGGATTGAACTCAGGTCATCAGTCTTGGTGGCAGATGCTTTCGTTTGCTGAGCCCTCTCACCAGACCCCAGCTCCTCAGCCCCCGTACAGCTTCATCTTTCTGTTACTTATAATATCTAGTGCAATGTAAATAGCTTTTTGCTGCGTTGGGTAGGGAACAAAGAGACAAGAGGGGAAAAAGTCTACACAAAATCCAAGTTGGTAGAATCTGAGGATGCAGAACTCTCTGATGGAGAATCTGTGGGCAGGGAAGGATGACTATATTGATTTGTGTAAATTCTGAGTGCTGGAATCTTTTTCCTGAAATCCAGCTTGTCCAACTGTGCATAAGAGAAGGTCAGGGGTGAGTGAAAAACAACAAAACAACAACAACAACAACAACAACAACAACAAACCCCTTTCTTCCCTTGGTTAATTATTAAGACAGGGACTTGCTATATAGCTCAGGCTGACCTCAAATTCTCTATTTTCCTGCTTCAGTGCTGGGACCGCAGAGGTGGGCAGAGAGAAACTGGCTGCATTAGCAACCTTGGGGGTGGGGCGCGCGTTGCTGTCCGTGGTGCTGAGAGTAAGCCTAAACCGGATGTGGCTACCACGGTAGAAGGAGAGTCACTAGGTATCCTCCTCAACTTCATTCCCCACCCCCCACCCTCTAGCCCTCCCCTCGTTTGCCACCATGCCTTCTCCCACAGTGCTTTGCGAATCCTCTGCATTGGCTTCCAAGCCCAAAAGTGCTGAGGAGAGTCTGGGCGGCAGACTAGGATTTGGCGCCTGGGTCTGAGCAGGGATTTTGAGACTGTGCGGTCCGTCTCCGACAGTTCGGGAGTGAGCTTCAGGTCCACCCCGGATGACTCAGAGCAGAGCCGGAGGAAGGAAGATGGTCCTCTTACCCACTCTGACCTGTTTTACCCCCTACCTAGACTTCCCTTCCTTCCTAGAAATTGAGTCACAGCCACCAGGCTCTTGTGAGACTTAGTAAGACTGAGCCTTGATTCGTTTCTTCGCCCAGCTTACTTCCTAGATACCCAAATACTAAAGCTCCTGGTTTCTGCAGCCCTGCTCATTTATTTTGGCCCCTCAGAGGTCTGGCGTGTACTGTGACTGACTGTCCTTGGCTCTTCCTAATCCTTAGCCCCAAGACTACGCCTTTTTCTGTGAGACACTCTCTGATTTATCTCTTCCCAGCATCCCAAACGGTTTACCTCCTAAGTTTCCTCGCCTCTCAGAATTGCCCTTTGGCCTTGCCTGCCCCCACCCCCACCCCCAGGTTTCCTCCTAACCGTGGGCACTCATGTCGCTGCAGCTCCCTGGACGGCTGTAAAACAGAAGGAAGCAGATCAGCAGCCGAAGCCCCCCGGAGCCCGCTGGACACAGAGAGCTCTGCATCTTCCCGCGATTCGGGATTCAAGTCGCAGTGAAAGTAAAAACAGCCAAAGGGGCTGTGCCATGTTGTCACTTTCCACCCGCTAGCGACGCGGGATTTGCAGAGCCTTCCTCAGCAACTCGGCCAATCGCGAGCGGGCCCTGCCCCTGCAGAGGCCTACCCAAGTCACCCATCACCTTACCGCCTCTCTCTAACTCGACCCTTTGGAATTTTTGCCTCACCCCCCACCCCCATGCCAATACACACTTTTTGACATAAGCGTCTACTCTCAGTCCCAAGATGGGAGAAACTGACGACAGGTAAGGTAAGGGTAAGAATTAGATCTATTTCATGGGTTTGGTTGTGAGATTTAAATATGAACTGCAACAGAGCAGTGAGCACTCAGTGTGTTCAGTTTTTTATTATCTTTGAAGCTTTTGCTTTGATTTTCATTCTTTTAATTTTTTTTTTTCTTTTTCTGGACATGGTCTCTCTGTAGCCCTAGCTGGCCCGGAGCTTGTTTTTTTGTTTGTTTGTTTGGTCTTTTTGAAACAGGGTCTCGCTGGAGCCCCAGCTGTCCTGGATTCACCGTGGAGACGAGGCTGGCCTCAAACTCACAGAGATCCACCTGCTTCTGCCTCCTGAGTGCTGGAATTAAAGGCGTGCACCACCAGGCCCGGCAGTTTTTTTATTATCTTTGACACTCATTTTATCTTCATCCACTTAAATCTTTTTGCAATGGTATGGGTTCAACCCACAAAATATATTGTACATCCATTTACATTTTCCCACATCCACTGCGGTTTCCCTGATCCAAACCACTGTATTCTAAATAGAGCTCTTGCAATAACTAGCTACTTTCCTATGTGTAAGGCAGCATGTTGAAATTTCTAAGCCCTAAACTGGCAATTCAATCCAAGTTTTGTTGTAAACTTGGGTTGATGCATTGTGCATTCTCTGAATGACATCATCTTCATTATTTACTGTTCTTTTGAGATTTCAGTGTGAGCCCTGAGATCTGAACAAAGACCCTCTGATTTTGTGGGTTGGAAACATACTACTGCAGAAGCTTCCTAACATGTATACATCCACATATATAAAGAGTTTAAATGGAGTTACCCTATAATAGGATACCAATGTTTCTACTACACATCATAGACTAACAAAAAGCCCAGTGCCAGGAATGGGTTACTTCTTTTTGAGTTGTTAGCCGGTGGTGTCCCATAGACCTATTGCAGGTTATTGCATTGCAGGCTATTGCCATTGCTCTTGGTTACCCTTCAGAATTTGATAGTAAGCCCTGTTGCTGAAGACAACATTTGAGTCATAGAACATGGAGAAATCAAGCTAGTAATGACCTGAAGGTTTCATCCCTACTGGCTAGCTATCACAGTGCTGGAAGATGCTGTGCATGCTGCTGGGGGAGAAAAGCAATCATCAGTCTTATGCAGCTGTGAACCCTGTGATCTGCAGTAACAACCTGCCTGACAAGACATGCCCACTGGTTCAATAATGGCACAAATGTCATAGGAGTAACCAATCACTTCCTGCTTGGATTTAAGGCCTGCTCCACAAGATGAAATCCATAATGGCACCATTATTGTAGCCAAGAGCCTGTGATTAGACAAATCACAAGCCCTAGAGGAGAACCCATTGCTATTATTCTGTTAAATGGGCAGAGTATTAAACAGACTCCTATGACTTATTGTTATACTCTATGAGTATAGTACATTTCTAAGCACTCATCAGAGAAGCTTCTTTCTGCAACAGATGGCCTACAATTGGTCAAGATGGAGTAAAAAAGAGACTGCAGAATTCTCAGGCCCTAAATGGGGCATCTATATCACACCCCCTTCTACCTAAGCTCAGAGACCCTTGAGGAAGAGAGGGCAGAAAGGTTGTAAGAGTCAGAGGTAGTGAATGACTACAAGGAAATAGTGTTTTCTGGGCACAACAGGGCAGTGGCACACACGAAATCACACTGATTATGACAGCATGCACAAGACCTGTGCAAGCCTAAGCCAGATAGAATCCCAGCATGGAGAAGGGAATTGGGCATTAAGTCTCACTCCTAGCTGAGGAGGTTTTGGTAGCTGATAGCTGCTGGGAGAGTGAGTCAGTTTTCTTTAAGGGTGTAGCCCTTGGTAGGTCAATCATGCTCCAGTCACACACCCAAAAGCATATGGGACTTAGTGGGTTTAAAAAAAATAAGGACACAAAGTTGGGTGAGTAGGGAAGGGAATGGATCTGGGAGGAGTTGAGGAGGGTGAATGTGATCAAAATATATTGTATGAAATTCTTAAAGAATTATTTTTTTAAAAAGAGAAAGAAAAAAAGGTGGTTAAGAATGTGAGGCATTTGTATATGGATGTTAGGTTTTCTCTCTGTAAATCACTCATTTCCCAGATTTCTTCCATTTCCAGCTGCTTTGGCATCCCTGTGCTCTCAACTCTGCTTCTCAACCAATTAGACTGTCACTTCCTGACTGAGTTCGCTTTCCCTCTGTGCTGCACTGAATGGTGATGTATCTTCAAGGGGAAATCCTGCTGAAGGTGAATCTCACCTGGTGGCGCTTTTATCTTTAAAAGTTATGATCCTGTTAGTTTTTCTTGCTTTTGGTTGGTTTCCATGCCTTTATATAGCTATCTTTGTGTTTTGTCCAGAATATGTTACATATAACATTAATATATATTAATAGGAGGGTCTGACACAAGATGTTTTATCATGCCAGGACTTGCAAGTTTTTCTTATCATTGATTATATGCGGGATATTGTATTTTCAAATTGTTTATAGAAAGAATTTGAAGAATGCTGTGGGGCAATGAGTTGATACATTCCATCCTGGAGGGAAACTTTTAAGACTCAGGAAATTCTAAAGAGAAGTTGTTAAGACTCAGGAAGAAAACAACTCAGAAGCTCAATAAGTTCCTGGAACTGAGCAAATGTATAAGGCCCCTTCTTTCCCAAGGTTATATGAGTTGAGAGATGCATTAATCTTTCTGCCCCTCTTCCACTATGTTCCCTGAGCCTTAGGTATAGAGGTTGCATTGTAGATGTGCCACTGAGGGCTGGGCACCTCACAGACACTTATTCTCTGCATTTGATCAGTTCTAGAACTTTTTTTTTTTGTTTTGGTCTGGCCTGAAGCTCTACCTGCCTCTGTCTCCCGAGTGCTAGGATTAAAGATATGCACCACCACACTCCGAAACCAGTTGTGGAACTTTGTAATAGTCTCCACCTGTTGCAAAAAGATGCTTCTTTGATGAATGGTGAGAGGTACACTTGTAAGGCTATGCATATAGAACACAGTAAAGAAATTATGTTGGCTTATGGAGGTGATAGAAGTAGATTTTTTTCTCTAGGGTCTATAATCTTTCCAGTCATTTGTACTTGGCTATGTTTACAGTACCACACATGAGTTCCATTTCCTTCCCTTGAACAGGCCTTAAGTCCAATTAGACAGCTGTTGATTACCTCCAAGATAAAAGTGCCACTACTGTACTGATATAGTTTGCTGGGCTGGCCATTATTGTGCTTCATAGACTTTACATCTCTGTAGGGTCCTTGACTGGTTTTCTCCCTTGGCAGCTTGCATGGTATCTTCTGATACTATGAGAGCTAGCCTTCAGGGAGAAAGTTTCTAGCTCAGTTCCAGCTCACTTACTTTGACTTCTGTGTCTGAAGTATGTACTGTCTTCTACAGGAGGATTTTACCTTCAAGTTCTTAGAGGCAATCAAGGACTGTGGCAATAGCCTCAGACTTCTTTTGGAAGTCTCTTGGACTACCCTGACCAACAAATCAAAGGGAGGTTTCCCATGCTTGGCACCGTGATGTTTTTGCAATTTAGTCTTCAGTTATACACATGCACTCACTTTTGTATTATATGGGTATTTTTCAGTAAGCTTATTAAATAATTTTTAAGTCCAGGAGCAGACTGTTTTGTGACTAACTTCTGGAGGGTAACAAGAGGGCAGAGAAGCTTCAGTCTGCTACAGTTTTTCTCAAAGAAGGAAGCAGCTCAAAGAAATTTAAAATGTGAGGAAAATGAGGTTGGGAATTTATGTGTTCTTAGGCTGGGCCTCCTCTCTCCCACCTCAATTCACAGTGGGATATAATAACAATATCTATCTGGGCAAGTATTGAGGCACAATGACTAAGCAATTGCCTGACAGCTGACTTTCCTTGACTCTCATGTCCCAATCTTCTCATGCGTTCTGATTTTCCCATTCTATGAAGAGCTAGATGAGAAATCTGAGCCTGGCAGAGTCTCATTTTCATACTTAGTAATGAAACAGGAAAATGACCCTAATCTAGAACTAATGAACTATGACCTCAGTATAACTCTGTTCTATGTGGTAAGTACTAACAAATGTATTTTTACAAGAACCTTATGTACTCCTGATAACAAGTGTGCTTGTTGATATGTATAGAAACAACAGGGCTTTGGCAACTTCTACTTGTACTCAAATCATAAAGGTCACTCTGAGCTCAGTCTCAGGCTGAGTTAAGACAAGGCAGACAGCCACAAAAACTGCAGTCTGTGAGCACCTTGAAGAACGCTGCCTCTTGCAGTGATCTTTGAGGAAGTACCTGTTACTATCTGTCTTATTTGTTAAAATAGCTAAGAATGTACTGGAGATGTCACAATACCACATTTCCCTCTTTTTTTTTTCGCAAAAATGCTGGCTGTTTAAATTTCCTTTATTATCCTAAGAGGCACATACATTTCCATGCTGAAAGTCTCTAATCCACCACTATGATTACTGCCAAGGGATGACATGAGAATCCTATTAAAATCTGTATGTATTTCTGGCCTGTGCCTCAGTTCCCACAACAGAAGCTCAGACTAGGCTTGCACAAGATAAAGAATAACTTCCTCTGCATCCTGCATATGGTTTGAGTCTTTTCAATGGGCCAGGTCAGTCTTGGGTTAATTCCTGTAACAGTAGCACCATGGCAACCAGTTATCATTGTGGGGATCAGCCACTCAGTGCTGTCAGTGTCTCCCCAGCAACCAATCCCAGCAGATGCTGCACAGATGCCATGATGACAGGAGTCAGAGGCAGTTTCCTTGGAGGTTCTGGTGCCCCACTTCTCTGAGGTTGAGGGTGCACTG